TGGATGGCTGTCTCACCCTGTACTCACAGATTTTTATCAGAGCTTTCTGTTAATAACTAAGAGAGATAGGTTAAAATCCCCAACTATTACTTTGAACTTTTTTCTTTACATTTTTCAATTGTTATTTATATGCTTCATTTATTTGTAAATATACCTTATATATTTTAAAGTCTTATTGGCTGGACACAAATTTAGACTGGTCATATATTTCCAGGGGACTTCTCTAATAATGCTTTTAGCCTGAATTCCATTTTCTCTAAAAGTAATATACCACACCATCTTTCTTTAGGCTAGCTTTGGAATCCATTTTTAGACTCTTTCATATTCAACCTTCTTGTATTTTTGTTTTAGATTTCTTGATATTCTTCATTTACCTTGAGCACCTGATCCATTTATAATGTATTGTAATTACTGATATTTTGGGGCTTCAATCTTCTCTTTTTATGTGCTTTTAATTTGTACCCTTCCTTATGTTTCTTTTTCTTTCCTGTCCTGCCCAAATGTTACCTTCTCTTTGTGGAAATTATACACTCTTTTACTGTTCTTTGAACAGCTATAATAGAAATTATAAGAAGCATTTTAAGGTTATTAAAACCTAATATTGATAAATTTACCCTTTTCTTAATTCAAGGACCTTAGAATATTTTAAAAACATTTATATCCCTCTTGACCAATATGCCAGTGTTATATTTTATATAAATATTTTAATAAAAATTTTAACTTTATTTTTATTGTAGACACTATTACAGATGTCCCCATTTCTTCCCCTCAATTTCCCCATCTCCATCCAGCCCTTGCCACCCTCTTCCCCCTGTCCATCACTCATGTAGTCTGTGTATATGTTATGTATATGTTTCTTGGGTAATCCCTTCACCTTATTTCATCCAGTCCCCATGCCCACCTCCCCTCTGACAGCTGTTAGTTTGTTCCATGTATGCATGCCTCTGGATCTATTTTGTTCATCAGTTTATTATGTTCATTAGATTCTACATAAAAGTGAGATCATATGGTATTTGTCTTTCTCTGACTGGTTTATTTCACTTAGCTTAATACTCTCCATCCATGCTGTTGCAAAGGGTAAGAGATCTTTTTTAGTGCTGCATAGTATTCTACTGTGTCTACTGATGGCTACTTGAGCTGTTTCTATATCTTGGCTCTTGTAAATAATGCTGCAATGAACATAGGGGTGCGTATATTCTCTCTGATTGGTGTTTTGGGATTTTTGGATATATTCCCAGAAGTGGGATCACTGGACCAAAAGGCAGTTCCATTTTTAATTTTTTGAGGTATTTCCTTACTGTTTTCCACAGTGGCTGCAACAGTCAGCATTTCCACTAAAAGTGTACAAGGGTACCACTTTCTCCACATCCTCACTAGCACTTGTTGTTTGTTGATTTATTGGTGGTAGCCTTCTGGCAGGTGTGGGGTGATACCTCATTGTAGTTATAATTTGTATCTCTCTGATTGATTAGTGACATGAGCAATTTTTTCATATATCTATTGGCCAACCAAATGTTTCTATTCAGGTCCTTTGCTTATTTTTTTAATTGGATTGTCTACCTTTTGTTGAGTTGTATAAGTTCTTTATATATCTTGGAAATTTGCCCCTTTTTAGATGTATCATTGGAAAATATGTTCTCCTATATGGTGGATTTCTTTTCATTTTGTTGATGGTTTCTTTTGCTGTGCAGAGCTTTTTAGTTTGACATAGTCCCATTTGTTTATTTTTTCTTTGTTTCCTTGGCCTAGGAGATACACTGGCAAAAAATATTGCTATGAGAGATGTCTGATATTTTACTGCCTGTTTTTTCTAAAATTTTTATGTTTTTGCAACTTAACATTTAAGTCTTTTATCCATTTTGAGTTTATTATTATGTGTGATATAAGTTGGTGATCTAGTTTCATTTTTTTGCATGTACCGGTCCAATTTCCCCGACATCATATATTGAAGAGACTGTCTTTACTTCATATGTTTTGGCTCCTTTGTCAAATATTAATTGACCATATGATGTGGGTTGATTTCTGGGGTCTTTGCTCTGTTCCATTGTTCTATATGCCTGTTCTTATGCCAGTACTGTTTTGATTACCATAGGCTTGTAATATAGTCTGTTATCAGGTAGCATTATATCTACAACTTTGCTCTTCTTTCTCAATATTCCTGAGAATGATATTCCAACCAACTGAGCTACCCTCAAAGGCAATACCAAGATTTTTTTTTTAGTAAAATTAGTGAAGTTTGAAAAGAAAAATATCCTTTGGCATCTATACAAAGAGTATGAAGAAAATAAAATCAGGTTATTATCATGCTTTTTTACAATAACACTTTATGACAGAAAATAGGAGTAATGAATCAAGATTTTCAAGGAAAGAAAATATGATTCAAGTATTTAATATCTAGTAAAATGTATCATGATGTACAGAGGGTGCAGATGAATGTCAACATGCAAGAAGACAGAGAAAACTATTTCCAAGAAGCCTTCCAAGGGAATCTACTAAAAAACATGTTTGAGATATCAATGCTTAGAGAATTACTGACATAATGGTATTTTATATATATATAGTTTTATATAATGATTTTTAAAAATATATGCATATAAAAGAGTTACAATGGATAAATTATAATATGCAAATGATTATATCTACCTTGTTAAAATAATTATTTAAAAATGGGGAAGAATGGTATAATCCAAGAAAAAAAAAATTAAGTGTTTTTGGTAGTTGGTAATTGGTCTTTTATATTTAAGTGCAATGTAACAAAATGCCACAAGGTTAGTGGATTAAAACAATAGAAATGTCTCATCTCACAGTTTCCTGAGTCAGGATCCAGGCACAGCTGGCTGGGTCCTCTGTCCGGGGTCTCACCAGGCTAAAATTGTGGCCAGCCTGCTGCATGCCCATCTAGGGTTCCTTCAGGCTCAGCAGAATCTTGGGCTTTGTGTTTGTGACACTGAGGTTCCTGTTTCCTTCAGGGTTGTGAGCAGGAGGAAGAAATTGAAAACCTATTTGAAAAAATAATGACAGAAAACTTCCCCTAAATTTTAGACATACAAATCCACGAAGCACAGAGAGTCCCAAACAAGATGGCCCCAAAGGAGCTCATCCAAGACACATCATAATTAGAATGCTAAGGGTTAAAGACCAAGAGAAAATTTTAAAAGCAGGAAGAGAAAAGCAGTTAGTTACTTACAACAGAGGTAGGTAACAACTGTCAGCTAATTTCTCAAAAGAAACTTTGCAGGCCAGAAAAGAGTGACAAGAAATATTCAAAGTGATGAAAAGCAAAGATCTACAATAAAGATTAATCTACCCAGCAAAGCTATCATATAGAATTGAAGTTCAGATAAAGAGCTTCCCAGACAAGAAAAAGTTAAGGCATGTATCACCAGTAAACCAGCATTACATGAAATATTAAAGGATCTTCTTTAAGAAGAAGGAAAAGATAAATAATATGAACAATAAAATGGCAATAAATACATATCTATCAATAATTGAGTCTAAAAATCAAAATAAATGAACAAGGATTCTTCTAATAAAAAAATAAACTAATGAATAAAATAGAATCAGAGGCATGAATCATGGAACAGACTGAAGAAACTCAGAGAGGAATGGTTAAGGAGGGTGGAAAGAGATTAACTAAATAACTTAAGTGCATAACCCAGGGAAATAGACAATAGGGTGGTGAAGGCCGGAGGTGGGGTAGGATCCTGGTGGAGGGAGGCAATGGGGAGGAGAGGCCAGAGACATCTGCAATAATTTCAACAATAAAGATTTTTTACAAGGAAGGAAGGTGCAGAGGGAGAAAGGAAGAAAGAATGGAAGGAGAAAAGAGAAAAAAAACAGAATGAATAAATAATACATGGTGGGAAAAATAAAAATAAATTACTAAGACTTATATGAAAATAAAGCCTACAATGTCTATATCAGAGAAGACTTGGTCTAACACGTAAGTCCATCAAGCACATAAAACTTTTTAAATATGTATTTAAAGTTGAAAGGTAATAGATGCATATATGATTATATTTAAATACTTTTTAATTTTCCCAAATAAGCATTCATATACTCACAAAGATGTCAATGGGAGTTTCATATTCATATCATAGGCAAAAATTGATTTGTTGTTTTATGAAACTTAGTATTTCAATTAGTCAAGTTTTCAATTTGAAATTCACTTCCCAAAAATAAAATCAAAACAAATACAATCAGTCTTCTCATATTTACTTATTTAACTTCCCTGACAAATGAAAAATTAGTCCAGCTATAAAAATATAAGGCACACATTAAAGAAAAATAGTCAAAAATTGAGTTTTTCTTTACAAGAATATTTTAAGGCCCAAGTAATAAAAATGCAAGAGACAATACATAGTAAATATTTCCATTTAAATAACAGCATGAAATCCTCAGGAGTATTGTTGTCTATTATTTTATAAAAACAGAGGGAAAGATTAGGAATACAAATATTAAAGGCCAATAATCAAAATTAATGTTTAGCATAGACTACTATTTATATGAACAATGTAAATAGGTAGAATCATCTATCTGACTTAATATAAAATAGATTTCTGGCATATAATTATTGTAAAAATGAGAATGATCATTTTAATTCATCCAATTCAAGTATTCATTCAGCCAAGGGAACAATATAAGCCTCTTAAAAATTCAAGATCTACAGCTTAATATTAGAAATTTTGTTAATATAATACATAGAATATTCTGATCTTTACTGAATTACACTTTACAAAGATGTATATTCAAGTGCTTTATAGCTTAAAATAAAATCTAACTGGTCACTAAAATTCTTTGATAAAATTATCACTGTAATTGTATGAGGCAAAGTCCTATAATAAGATGAATGTAATAATGGCCACAATCTTTTCAAAAACAGAATATGGAAGTTTTCATTTTATGAATTTGGTTTTCCAAAATTTGGTTCCCAAAGCCAGTTTTTAAATGTTACAGCGGGGGGTGGGGGTGGGGGTAAAAATTAAATGATTTAATAGAACTCTGAAGAAAAAAATAACTCTCCTAGATCTTAGTTTGAAAAATATATCTGGCGTAAGGGATTCAAAATTACATAATAATGCTTATATCAAAGTCTATTAGTTAGCTAAAGGGCAAAAACTAAAAAGCAAGCAGAATGTAATATTTGCTTTCAACAAAGCAGACTGAGTAATGTTAAGTGTTAGGGTGGGATAGGAAAGAACTCAAGCCAGGCAAAAGTTTCCTCTTGGACCTTCTCTATAAACAGCTATTTTCGTTTTGGACTGTTCCTCAGTGTGCTCATGTGATGGAGGGAGGAAGTCTGCCCACCCACAAAAAGCTCCCCACACCAACAGGTCTTTGTCCAGTGGTTCTAGAAAGGCAGCTGGTCCTCTGAGCTCCCTGGGAGTCCATGGGACTTGGAGGTACAGAAAAATGGAGTCCAATTTGCATAACACATTAAACCATCCTAATAGGAATCTTCAGTGAACTGAGTTATTCAAATGTCAGCTAATAGTATAGATTCTAGCTAATAACCATGGATAAGTATCTGTCTTGAAAATGCCTGTAAGAAGTCAGTTTATGGGTTCTAGGTCCTCCCAGAATCAGGGCTTCCTAAGGTCTGGGAAATCCTCAGCTCCCTTTAGCTATCTTTCCAGATAAAAGCTTAATGAATATAGTTTAAGTCCTTTATTGGGCTCTGTAATCCCTTCAACCAAATAGGCTGCAGTTGTTTTAAGAAACTTTTATTTCATTGGAAAATGTGGGAGGGTATTTTGATATTATCTAAGTAAAATCAGTGGGTAGACACTATTCACCCCAAACCAAAGAGTGCTGCCTTCAGGAGTTGTCCGAAAGGAAATCAAATGATACACCGAGAGAGCATATTGTGCACACAGCAGAGCCCTTCCTTCAGCACAACCTGTCATGCTCTGTCTGAGGAAGCTCCAGGCCACCTGGTATGTCAAGTGTGATGCAACTTCAGTCTTTCTAAATCCAAAGTTACAAGCTTCCGAAGAACTTCAAGCACAATTTTATAACAAAACCAATACTGCTCCTGTAGACATATATAAGGAAAACAACAGACCGTTAAGTAACTGAATACCAATATCCACTTTCAGAGAACACATTTGTAATTTTCAGCCACAGAGAAAGTTCCTAAAGAGCACACATTTAACTAAGAACTTCTATACATAAATATATTTTTTTAAAATATCAGAAACATAAATGATCACAATATAGTTCTTGGTCTAGACTAAAGGCTTAACTGAATAGAGGGGAAACACTCTCAAACTCATTCTGCTTATGTTTTCCTTGGATGAATCACACTTTAAACTTTTTTTAGATATAGCCTCAGGTCTCTCAGACAACAATAGTTCAAATAAAATGCTCCATATTACTCAATGTTGGCCTAAAAACAGGTCAGCCTGAAGATTCAGGGATACCTATTTTCATTATCCGTACTATCTTAACCCCCAAAATGACTAATAATTAACCTGTGAAAGAAATGATAGTTTTATGACTATCATGACTAATGAGATTAATATTTTAATGGCAAGTCAATATCCCAGAATTGCTATCCATAAATTTATGAAAATTCATTGAGACATGTTTCTCTAACAAAGCTTGTGTGTGGACACTGGGAGACTTGGTCTCAGTCGCAGCTCTTCCATTTGCTATCAGAATGAAGTTACTTCATGGAAAAGACTGCATTGTTCTGAACTTGAAGGTCTGCATCAGTAATGTCTATCTCAAAAGTGAGAACTCAGTGAGCTCATGTAGGTGAAAGAGCTCTATAAATTGTAATATGTTATATAGTGAATCTCTATATTCATTATTCTTCAAATTAGAATTATGACATGAGAGCTTACCTTTGTTTGAACCATGCCATAACGTTGTGCTCTCATTTGGGCCACGATATCTTTGATGTTGAACTGCAACAGGATGACAGTAATTCTACGTTATCCATATAGAGCGAAACATAAACCCACAATTGCCAAATGAGTACTCAAACTGCTTTCTAGTAAAAAAGATGCCAAGATTTAACCAGAAAGGTCTCATTTTCAGTCATAAGAAATTGCACTATTTTAACCTAGTCTAATGGATAAGCAACACTTGTATAGTGGGTTTCCAGGAAAAAGCAGGAAGCAATCAAATAACAAGAAATGCTCTCCAAAAGAAATAACAACAAATTTCCCCCTGTGTATACTTTCTATTCTCCAAAGAGAGACCTTAAAGCGGCACTATAACTCTGATAAAGTCTGATGCATGGAGGACTTGTTCTGGCCACAATAACAGCACAGCTGTTTTCCATAAAGAAAGTCCTCTTGACTCAAACGGAGACCCTGAGCAACAGCCGGCCCGACGCCAGATTCTACACGTGTGCATGGAGATCTGCTCTGCCCAGAGTAGTTGCTGCCTGGGGCAGGCCTGCAAAGGGCTGTTGCTGAGCCACAATGCGATCAGTCCAGAAATGAGCAGTACGTTTTAGAAACTCTTAGGGCAGTCTGCCATTGGCACAGGCTAAGAGGTGTCATCAGCAGAACAGTGCACAGACCAGCTAGGGCGCTGCTCAATTTTCCTGAAGTCACATTTGGTGCAAGCTGAGGACCAGCCATGTGCTGTAAGACCATGTTGACACCTGAAAATTTTAAGATTTGTCAACCATAACCCAAAAGTATGTAAAAATCAGAGAATATAAGCATTCCTTTACCTTTATAACATGTAATTTTTATAATAATTTTAAATCTAATTTAGCCTTAAAATTTTTATATTGAAATAATTATATATGCAAAGTAGGTTGCCAAAAATACGTATCGAGAAATCCTGTGTATCCTTCACCCAGTTTCCCCAAATTATAACATCCAAGATAGTGACAGTATAACATCAGAAGCAGAAAACTGACATTGGTACAACCCACAAAGCTTATTCAGATTTTGCCAGTTTTATATGCGATCATTTGTGAGTGTGTGTGTTTGTGTATTTTTGGTTCTGTGCAACATTATCACATATGAAAATTCATGTAACTGCAACCACAATCAAGATCCCTGACCATTACACCACCAGATTTCCTTATGCTATCTGTTAGAACTACCATCTACCACAACCCCTCACCCTTGGCAACCAGGGAATCTGTTCTCCATCTCTATAGTTTGTTTCAAAAGGATTATATGAATGGAATAATGAAATATATAACCTTTTGAAAAGGACTTTTTTTCATGCATCTTAGTTGCCTTGAGACTCATCAAAATTGTTTTGCATATTAACAGATCTTTCCTTCTTGTTGCTAAATAGTATTCTAGGGTCTGGAAATGTACCAGGTTTTAACCATCAACTTGCTGAAGGACATCCAGGTTGTTTCCAGTTTGGGGCTGTTATGAATAAATCTGCAGTGAACATTTGTGTGCAGGTTTTTGTGTGAATATGAGTTTTCATTTCGCTGGGATAATTAACCAAGAGTGCTATTGTTGGGGTTATGTGGTTAAGTTTAGTTTAGAGTTTTAAAGAAACTGTAGCATTATTTGCCAAAATCGGTATACTATTTTTAATATATATATATATAACACTCAATGCAAGAACTTCCCCCTGATGGTCAGTGTGCTCCCACAGCCAACCTCCCGCAGTCCCGCCCCCCTGGCCACCTGGCCAACCTCCCGCAGTCCCTCCCTCCTCCTTCGCCTCCGGCCTGCAGGCCTCAATCAGCCATTCTCCAATCAGCCCTGATTGCCAGCCACACCCAGGGGCTCCACCCATGCACTAATTTCATGCACCAGGCCTCTAGTGCTAGAATAATTGAACATCTATAGGGCAACAATAAAAAGAAAGAAAGTCAACCTCGATCTAAACCTCCACCTTATACAAAAAATTAACCCCAAATAGATTATGGGCTTAAATGTAAAACATAAAAGTATAGAGCTTTGAGAACACAGCAGAGAAAAACTTCTTTGGGACCTAGGCTGATGAGTACTTACACTTGGCACCAACAGCATGAAATCCTGTGGGGTTTTTAAAATTTATAATTTAAGGTTAGATAAATTGTGAAAATGAATTTGTATTTATTTAACCTAAGTTTACTGATGGCAGAACAAGCTTCTGGACTGGGCTGTCAGGGAAAGCACAGCTTTCGGAATGGAGCTTCAGTGACTAACCACATGAGGATCAAAAAAGTGATGCAGAGAAACAAAGGCCAAAAAAGCTCACAGTAATTTTACCTGGAATTATAATTCCTTACATACTTTAAGGGGTTTTACAGCTATTATTCATTGTGAATTGCTAAAACCACATGTGTGTTATTATTTATTAATCACTGTATTATTATTTATTAGTATTAACCTACTTTTGCCTACCACTGTATGTGGCAGAAAAGTTAAAGTACCATTTTCTAATGACACCACAGCTTAACAAGATCAGGGACTGGTTAATGATGGAAGTGGTACTAATTCATGAAACAGAAGTAGCAAATTATTTACCACTGTAACTTAATAAACACATAGATATTGCTTACACAGTAATTCATTCAGTATATGTGTGATTTGAACATGATGAGACATGAAAGAAGAAGTCTCTTTTCTCAGTTTGATTGCTGACAAACACAATTATACAGCTCTACACTGTATAAAAATGCAACGTACAACATCGTCAACAACTGTTGCTCAGAGTGTAAGTTTTGTGAAGGATTATGTTCTGGTAGTAGAGCTGCAATGACCATAAAATAGTCGAAGGTAGTGACGCAGATTAAGGAATATGCCAGAAGGCAAATCAACACACTGCTTCATCAAGACGGTTTTAATAAAAAAAATAAAATTTAAAAAAAACAAAACACCTGCTGGATGATCTAAACTGTGTGCTTAGTGGTGCAGTAGAAATTTGGACTACTCACTTTTCTATGTGATAGCTGGTGACTGCCTGTGAGCGGCTGCTACTGCTGCAGGTGTGCAAGGGAAAGCTGTGTGCAGAATGTCTGAACTCAGAGCAACCTAAGTGTCTCCAGAGTTTCAGGGATTGTAAGCAGGCTTGATTAACTATGAAAATTGCTCTACAAATAACAATTAATGAAAAGAAATAGATGGTTACATATTCTCAGATGTTCATATCCTTTAACATTATAATAAGTTAATCCTAAATGTCAAAGGTCACACTTGTCCAGCCACATGTGGCTGTCTGCAGCTTGCAACATGTAAGCCTCCCCATGTGAATTCCCAGCACGCACATGGTCTACAGCTGCTCACGCGACCAGCACGCTGCTCATGCTTCCCAGTGGTCGGTAAACTCATTAGTCAACAGAGCCAAATATCAACAGTACAACGATTGAAATTTCTTCTGAGAGCCAAATTTTTTAAACTTAAACTATATAGGTAGGTACACTATTATTTTTTTAAGTATTTTATTTTATTTTATTTTTTAAATATATTTTATTGATTTTCCACAGAGACAAAGGGAGAGAGATAGAGAGTTAGAAACATCGATGAGAGAGAAACATCGACCAGCTGCCTCCTGCACATCCCCTAGTGGGGACATGCCCGCAACCCAGGTACATGCCCTTGACCGAAATCGAACCTGGAACCTTTCAGTCCACAGGCCGATGCTCTATCCATTGAGCCACAACCGTTTCGGCAGTACATTGTTATTAACTCAATTAGGGTACTCCTAAGGCTTAGGAAGAGCCATACTCAAGGAGCCAAAGAGCCACATGTGGCTCACGAACCGCAGTTTGTCGACCACGGTTCTAGACCATCTAGCAATGCACCAAACTGCCCTAAGTGCTTCTAAAAGCTTCCTCTCGATTCCTATAAAGCAATTTCTGCAGATATCAAACATCTACAGACTGATGCTGATCCAAGGCCACACCCCCCAGAGCTCTGGTGGAAAGCATTTCTGAAGAGTAGAGAGGGGCATCAGTACGAATATGTGACAGCTCAAGGCTTTATGGAAAACCAATAAGGAAAAAATAGTGTATTTCTTATTTTTGAACCACTATATTTCATCAAATCTAAGGCATTCTTGATTGTAAAATGCATCATTTATACACACTGTCAATTAAACAGACAGATGACACCATAAAACACATTAGGATCTAAAGAAGGTACAATGTGGGAAAAAGACAGTGCTCCTTAGGGTTATGAAATAGAATATTTACAGTTTTACATTTCTACAAGGGATATAAAATAAAGATAAACAAACTACTTAAGAAATTATGATGAAAAATATATAAAAGAAAAATTATACTAATGCATTTTCTGCTAACAGGACAAAAGGTAACATCAGACACACTTAGCATTTTTTAGAACATTTGTCTTTTGGGGGGCTAGCCAGTTTATATTCTTTCTATGTGATAAAGCCCTAAGTTTACTCTGGAAAATCATTCCTCTCCTCTTCTCAACCGTTAAGGCCTGGAGCAGCCCTGACTGGCCTACACTAACCAGCATCTCCCACAGGGACTAGTTCAGGGAAGGGGCAGCCTCAATAGGAACTCAATCGGAAACAGTGAAATGCTAGGAGATACTGGGCTCAAGATTCTGAAAAGAAGGAAAACTGCTTGCCCCTCCTTCAGGAGTGACCGGGAGAGGCCATTTTCCTATCCTCCCACATCATGCACCCTGAGGTCCAGGGCCCAAGCAGCATCTGCTGTCACTGTCGAGTACAACTACCCAGAGTCTGTGGAGAAGAGTCTGAGGCCTGTTCCGACAACAGCCTGACTGCAGCGCTGTCTGCCAGGCACGCCCACACCCTGTCGCCTGGACTAAGCCATAGGGTCACACTCCTGGGCTTGACTGTGGTCAGAGCCCCGCCTGCTCAGTGCACGCACGCCCTCCCACACTGCTGAAGCGCAGAACGTTCAGCAAGTAGCCTGTTTGGCCACAGGTCTAAAGTCACATTACCCCATCAGTGTAAGCAATAATAAAGGCGATAGTATAATCACCACGTGTCTAAATTAAGAGGAAAGTAAAGAATTGCTAATGAATAACTCAAATCCAACAATATTATTATCCATATTTTATATATGAGCAAACTGGGTTGCAGAGAAGATGAACAATTCGCACAAAGTCGCCAAAAGTCTACAGTATGTGGCAAAACTGGCAGTCACACCCGAGCCTCTCAATCGCTCTGAAGTCTGCATTGTTTTCAATGTGCTACATGCATGTCGTTCTGTCCATTCAAAACAGGCACATGTCACCAATCTTCTCCAACAAGGCCGGGAAGAGGCCCCTGGGGGTGGAAGGCAGAGGAAGGAAGATGAACTCACACTCAGTGTGTAGGTACTATGTTCGAAGCCATTCGTTTCATTATGTACTTCAGTCCTCACAACCACCTCCAGGAACCTGCAGCAGTTAAGGAGCAGGTTCCCAAAGCTCATGTCTCTTTACTAAGTTGCTCCTAGTAACTAAGTTGCTCTTAATAACTAACTAAACATCAGCTGTTGGAAGACTGTTGAAAGTAGAGTTTTACTGATACGGGTTTATCTACTTAATTCCCACACTTACTGCAAAGTTCTTTTCAATGGCACAGAACACCACATCCATACAGATGAACACCCCGGTCCGGCCCACGCCTGCGCTGCAGTGAACCACGATGGGTCCTGTCAGGTGGATGCTCCTCACATAGCGGACATACTGTATGAAACACTCTGGTGGTGCAGGAGTGCCGTGGTCTGGCCAGTTGGTGAACTGCAACTGTTTTATAAAGTGCCTAGTTCTTGTCTGTTGAGAAAGGGAAAAAGAAGGGGAGAGATAGAGAAGACAGATATATCAACCTCTTATATTAAAGATAATATTTTAATTTCTAATATACCAGAAATAATAATGATAATAATAATAATGGCTATAGGTACTACAATAATAAACATATGAATACCAACAGGAAACATGAATTGGGCACTTGTTCTGTTCAGGTACTGTGCATTATAGCTTTTAATCCTCACATCAGTGTTTGGAGGTGGCACTATTTACCCTCATTTTAGAGATAAAGAAGTCAGGATTAGCGTGACTGAGAGATGTAAAATAGGTCAGAACTGAGACTACCAAGTAGGCCTCCTGAATCCAAGTCTACTATCTTTCTTCTGCACCATGAGGCTGCAGAAAAAAACAGGAATTCAAAGATGGCCCAACATATTATGAATAATATAGAATAGCACTCTTTCTTAGCTTAAATATCATTAAGTTTAATTAAAACAGATATGTGCTATCAAGTTGCTTGACCGGGAGCACCAATGCCCTCTGCCAATGAGGACAGGGTGGTTGATGACCTGTGCTGAGCCCCTGGATGTGGAGTCATGAAACTCCTCAAGACTGACAGATTAAGCACTTGGAGTTTTCCAATCATCCCTTCCAAAGGGATAACCTCTCTCAGGGTCCTCCCTCATTTAATTTCACTGGGGACCCATGGGGAACACTCAGGGTGGGTTCTCACTCCTCTCCTGCTGCCCTAGTGCACCAGTTTTCCTAAGTTCCAAATAGAAAGCTCAAGTTTGAATCATCAGCACCTAAAAGTCAGTGATGAAAACAATCCTTGAAAATCCTGTGAAGGCATGAGTTTTAGGGTAACTCTCACCCTATCACATATTTCAAGGACTAAATCTCTCCTGCTGCTGTTGACCATGGAGAGTTGCTTTCCTGACTGACCCAGTGCCATGAAGACAGGCCGCTGATGCAGGTTCTCCAAACAGAACCACATGGGTCTGAGGCTTGTGGGCCTCAGCCCAAAGGCCACCATCCTGGCCTCCCTTGCCAAAATTCCGTAAGTGGATCCCAGAACTTGAGTCCATGCAGACAGACCATGCATCTGTGCCTCCCGCCTGGCGTACATTCTCCAAGCATGCTGCCCTCTCCTGCCGCGGCAGGCATCACACCCCATTTGGAACTGATGTGGCTGGTGTCTTTTAAAAAATATATATTTTATTGATTTTCTACAGAGAGGAAGGGAGAGGAATAGAGAATTGGAAACATCGATGAGTGAGAAACATCGATCAGCTGCCTTCTGCACATCACCTACTGGGGATGTGCCCGCAACCACGGTACATGCCCTTGACCGGAATCGAACCCGGGACCCTTCAGTCCATAGGCCAACGCTCTATCCACTGAGCCAAACCGGTTAGGGCTGGTGTCTTCCTCCCATGCTAGCCTGCAAGTACTCTAAGACTTGAGACTGTGTCTCTTTATATCCCCAGCCCCTGACATGCTACTTGGTTAACAGGACGGAATCAACAGGTATCAAGGGAATGAGGGATCAGGCGAGTCCCCAGGTATACAGAACAAGCATGGTGCCCAGCACACAGCCAGCAAGCTCTGCATCCATGTCAGTCATTGTTATTCCTGACATCCTGCTCCTCACTCTGGGCTCATACCCTCCTCATTTGCAAATCTGCCTCTCCCATCCCTCCCTACTCCTCTCTCTCTCAACTTCTCCCTTTGCACACAGGGCCACCATCCCACAATAATATCTTAGAAACCCTAGTCACCTCCCTAAATGTGCCTCGCCACACCTCGCTTCAGTATGAAAGACAAAGAACATCCAGGTCAACCGAAAAATTTTGAAGACCAACAATTACAAACATTATTGGATGAAGATGCATGTCAAACTCAAAACCAACTTGCAGAAAGATTAAAAGTTGGTTACCGCCCCGCCTCCCACAGGCATGTCACTGTCTCTGGCGCTCTGATCTAGGCCCTAGGTATCACAGAGCACAGAGACTAGGTTACATACTGCTTGCTGCCGACTCCCGTTTCCAATTCACTATTCCTTCTCCTTGAAAAAAACAAAACTCTCTTCCTTTTGAGCTTCATACCTCCTACCTTCATCTTTTCATTGTTATAACCCACTAGCTAGACCTCCTGTTTCATCTGCTACATTCACAGAACATCCTGACCTTCTCCCTACCACAGGTTCTGACACCATCCAGGGCACAGTCTTCCCACAGTGCCACCGATATTCTGAATCACAGCACCTTTATTTCTCTCTTGCAGAGGAGAGACTCCTTCCTCCTAGTCCTCACAGTGAGGAGCACCACCTGCAATGTCAGGGATCAAAAAGCTTCCAGTTCTTCAAATCCACTGCCACTGTCTGACCAGAAGCCTATATGCTAGCACCTCATTTGTGCGTCACTTCAATGCAACCAAGTGCACTCTCCTGTCCCTTGTGTCCTCCACGTACTCCTAGTTGACTGGCCAGATTTCATTCATCTCTCTAAATTAAGACTTCATGACTAATTATCAGAATCATTCTCTTACAAACTGTCAACTCCCTTTATCATTTGAATCTTGCCACAGATTACCCTGGGCCAGTCCCATAACCAGTGAACAGAAATCCCATAGTCTGGCTGTCGGGGAGAAAATCATCACATAGTTGCCTATTTTATTGCAATTAAAAATGTATAGGTTCCAATCTCAATGCCTCCAGAAACCCTTTTCCTAGTCATTGTGCTCTAATCAAATCAACTTCTTTGGTGATGACTCCAAATATCATCCCTTTTTTTCAAGCTTCCTGTTTAACTCCCATCCCATTCATTCCTACGGAACACACGTATCACGTACTTGCTAATCAAATCCACTTAGAGAAGTTAACTCATCACTTCCTCCTATAAATCACTGCTTTTCTATTTTCTGAGTCTATAAGAGCAAGAAATCTGTGAATTACTCCAGACAACACTTCCCAACAAAACTTTCTATAATGACGCAGATGTTCTATATCTGTGCTGCCCAATATGGTAGCCTCTGGTAACATGGGACTGCTGCAGGTGAAAAATAGATTTGTTATTTTATGTAAGTTTAAATAACTTAAACTTAAATAGCCACATTTGGCTACCATTTTACATAGCATACTTTTGACCACTCTTTCTGTCACTTATAAGTCAAAAGTCATAAGTCACATATAAGTCTGCCAATGTTATCTAAAAAACACCAAAGTTTCTGCTTTCCATCTCAATGCCAACTTCCCTAGATGACAATGGCACTTTCTTACTAAAATTCTTCAATGTCTCGCAATTATCTTCATAATAAAGTTTGGCTCCTTCACTAAAATCCAAGAAATTTCATGTTCTGGTTTGCCCCTGCTTACTTTCTATAACCCCATCTCATCTCTCATTACCTCCTGGCACTGCAATTTTATGTTCCAGAAACATTTAACTACTTATATTTCTTTATATATACCGCGTTCCATTTTATATCTTGATAATCTACTCCCTCTTTCCATCTTTCTCATTTGGGTAATTCTCAATTCAGATGCCACTGCCTCCAACAAACCTTCCCAAAACTACAAGTAATGCTAAGTACTTCCCTCCAAAGCTCCCTAACTCTCCACATGGATCGCAACATTACCACTGAGCACACCAAACTCACCACCACTCTGTAAGGGTGCCTGGCACATTCCTAACATGCCTTCACATAACTAACATACCTTAAAGACTCAATACACATCTGTCACACTTCGCAGAAGCAGCCCAAGTACATCCCAGGATTAGGCAACTTCCAATACTCACTCTCTCACTCCATTCCCTCCTTCCATTCCTTCCTCTCGCCAGCCAGTGTTTGATTAAGCACAAGTGGAAGTGGTGAGGTCTTAGTTTCTAATGCCAGAGAGAAGTAAAACTAAGTTATTTAAAAAGTATCCTGGTTGCCGAAACCGGTTTGGCTCAGTGGATAGAGCGTCGGCCTGGGGACTGAGAGGTCCCAGGTTCGATTCCGGTCAAGGGCATGTACCTTGGTTGCAGGCACATCCCCGGTGGGGAGTGTGCAGGAGGCAGCTGGTCGATGTTTCTCTCTCATCGATGTTTCTAGCTCTCTCTCTCCTTTCCTCTCTGTAAAAACTCACTAAAATATATTAAATAAAAAAAAAAAAGTATCCTGGTCTATACGCTACCTTATGCCTAACTTCTCACCCTGACATGCATGCTTATATAATGAAATATGTATCTGATACTGATTTTTAAAAACTTACAGACTTCCTCACAACTTGAAATATTCGAATGGTGAAATATGGAAGTATCTGGTAGTTCTCCAGGAAGATACGACAGTGTTTCAGTTCCAAAGGCTTCTTCGTAGAAACGGGCCAGTAATGATGGCATTTGGGAACTCCAGCTTCTATCTCTCTGGTTATCATGACAATAACATTAGAGTTATTTTCCAAAATCATTTGCCAAAAGTCATCTGTGGTAGTTGGCAGTGGCCCTTGGGTAGCGATATAGAAATACTCTTCTCCAGAATTGGTTATCCTAATATAACTAGCATTAATGTAGTCCTTGTTTTCTCCAAGAGGAACACGTGTTGAATCATCTATTACAAAACAGAAACATCTGGTAGATAAGGAAAAGCAGAAGACACAATACACTCAGACTTCCTGAAAGCACTTAATGCAGATAAATCCATTGATCTCTTGGCCCAATAGAGAAGATGGCATACATTTGAGTCCATATATTTAAATTCTTCTCTCCCCAAAACTTATTGGCATGACCTAAGAAATATACAATTAGGGAAGTTTTTTTATTTTAAATCATTTTCTACTAAACAAAGAAGGATGCCACCAGTATTCAGATACTGAGGGATTTCTGCTACGCGAGCACAGGTAGGATTAGGTCAAAAGAGGGACCTACTAGTCTGCAACTGAACACAGCCAAGGAGGAGCCCTCGGAGGGAGCAAGTGGAGAGCATTCCCAAAAATCTGGGGAACCTGCAAGCCCCAAACAGCAGAGCCAGGGGAAAATTTGGCAATAACAACTAAGAACTGAGGTAGTTGATCAAATACAAACACTAGCATAACAGATTTCTATCAATGCCACAAACATGCAGCCAGCCATCTGAATGTCGATCCTCGGTTTCATTGGTGAAGCGGCAATTTCTAATCAAAGCAGAGGAATTATGGGAAACTGATGCTATGAAGGGGATTTGTTCCAAGCAACATGGGACTCACCTGACATGAAGTATTACAAATATGAGAGGGAAAAGCAATGACTTGACTCACTAACAAACTCCACCAGCCCAGGAGTGGAGTTACAGAGACACCTGGAGCTCTGGGTCTCCCATGGCTCCTCGAGGAGAGAATGAAACCCTCAACAAAGGAGGAGCCCGCCCGCCCAGCCAGGAGCCATCACACCAGCAGTCTGTTCCTATGACCCCAAGTCATGGGGACTGCTTATTTAACAAATATACTATGACAAAGTAATTGGCAAGGGGCTTACACAATTTCCAACAGAATCCTTCTCAAATTCCAACACAGTAAGCATAAACCATCCCTTCTAAATATGAATAAATTGGAAAAATAATCACTAGGTACATAAAAATATACACTACTTCACAAAAGGAGACCATTCTGAGAAATCAGAGCAAATGTCCTCCTTTCTAAAAGAGAAGAATGACTTAAAAACTCCGATTTGTTTATATATAAAGAACTTACACAAGTCAATACCAACAAGACAAACAACTGGCTCTCCGACATCCCCCAAAAGGTCCCGGATTGTGAGAGGGTGCAGGCCAGGTTGAGGGACCCCACCGTTGCACAATCTCCCGGGGAGGGGCCTCGGGAGGGCTCCAGGGCATATCCGGCCCATCTTGCTCAGTCCCAATCAGCCGGACCCCAGCAGCAAGCTAACCTACCAGTCAGAGCATCTGCCTCTGGGTGATCAGTGCACATCATAGAAGCAGTTGAGCACCTTAGTATATCATTAGCATATTACATTTTGATTGGTTGTTCGGTTCTGCCATTCGGTCTTTTTGCATATTACCCTTTTATTATATTGGATTTTTATAGAAAATATGTACTACTTTATGATAAAAAAGCATTTTTTAATTTTCAAAAGTGAGATAAGAATAGAAAAAGTTTGCTTTCAGATAAAAACCACAATAACTCAGAGGGTGATGTCAGCATCATGGTGGAGTGAGAAGACTCCTTTATTCTCTTCTTAAAATTACAAGTTAGACAATTATAACTCAGCAAAGGACCCCCTGCTCAACACACAAAGATACCTGACCTGAAAGAGCCACCTGTCAGAACATCTGAAGGTGGGAAGATTTGAATGAGCAGGAGGGGTGGACAGGGAAGGAAGGGGAGGTTGCTGCAGATGCAGCCCAGCACCCACTGAGGTTCCAGTGAGGGCAATAGTGGAGGACTGGATGCAAGACTCACACTAGAGCCTGGAGTGTAAGAGGGACAGAAGCAGTGGTCTCCCAAGAAAAGGCATCACCTTTTCTCTCTCCCCATTACAGCAGACCCCTTGCAGAGATGGCTGGAAAGCTTCAAACAAGAGCAACTATGATAGCCATTACTGGAAGAGGGGTGGAGCCACACATGCTTTCATAGCCTAACCCAGCCGTGGGCAAACTACAGCCCCCGGGCCGGATCCGGCTCATTTGAAATGAATACAACTAAAAAAAAAAAAGACCATGCCCTTTTATGTAATGATGTTTACTTTGAATTTCTATTAGCTCACACAAACACTCCATCCATGCTTTTGTTCCGGCCCTCCGGTCCAGTTTAAGAACCCATTGTGGACCTCGAGTCAAAAAGTTTGCCCACCCCTGGCCTAACCCATCCTGACAGAGCCCAGTAAAGAAAGCTGAGAAGACCTGGACAGGTCATTGTGCCCATGGCCACTGCTGGCAGGAGGGTGAACCTGCAGGAGTTCAACCTTACCACCCTAGCAGAGCCAGATAGAGAAAACTGAGATGCCTTAAATAGTTCAATGATGAGGCTGGTAGCTGAGGGCGCGGTTGTTGTTTTCAATCGGGAGGGAGTCTCAGATTCTGAGCTCCAGTTCTGGGCAAGTCTCTAGGGACCCAGACTCAAATGGGAGAAGCAGGACTGTCTGGCATCAGTCGGAATGCGAGGGCAGCTTTCTCTGCAAGGTTTGCAGCGGTTGCTGGGACTCTGAGAGGCAGAGCCTCTGGGGACTGGACTGAGAGCAGCCATAACTGCTCCCTCCACCCGCTCTGTTGATCCCTTGCCACCCACCCGCCCCGCCCAAGCCCTGCGCAGCGC